TAAATAATTCGTTCTTATTGCGAAATAGGAGCACTATTTATCAATCTGTAATAAAAGACGTGAGGAAATTCTGTCTTTTTTAAAGGCAAAAATTTTTGAGGCTAAATACCCAAAAAAAAGTTTGTAAAAAATATTATTAATAATTATTACCCACTAAGACAATATTCTATGATTATTAATTATATCGAAAACGTTTAATTGGCATAGTATTGCTGTACAATATTGCATGTTAATCTTCAAGTATTTGTATAGATACATCAATATTGGTCAAAAAACCTATTCAAATATTGGAGTAATATTGGCTAATAATTGACAATATTGACCCAACATAAAAATGTTCTGCCAATATTGTATAAATATATACCCGATATATACATGGGCGGGGACAGTTGAGAAGGCTCAGAGAGCAGAACTATTTCTTTCAGGTTTGCAGGTAAAAACGCGTTAGAAACTTGAAGCGTCAAGAACAAATTCGGTTCCACCACGGTCTAAAAGCCGGAAAAAATCATCAGTTTAACGAAATTGCGAAAATACTCTGAGTAGTTGAATCATACTAAGGCCCTTAAGTGGGTGCTCAATGAGAAGACGATCCGCACCAACGCGGCTTCGAACAATTAGGGGGGGTATGGACGGATGAGGATAAGTCGATGTTACCGCGGAAGGTCGCCGCAATAATCTTGATAAATAAATCTTCCGTGCTGGTACGACGGTGCTTCCTGGCTGGCGCCTGGCGGTGCTAAAAATAGAAAGATGGCGGCCAGACGACGCCGCACCACGATGGATGCCATGGCATCGACACACTCAACGAATTTTGATTTTTTTAAATTTATTTGGACCCGACAAGTTTGATGCGGCGCCACCACGAAAGCCCATTGACGGAGCGGCACGACCACCGCCAGCCGTTCACTTTTCAGTCATGTTGGTGCATTTTTAATCGGTGAAATCCCACAGTTTCCACTAATTCCACTCGCCCGATCCGAAACCTATTAGTCAAGTGGAACAACATTGACTGAAAGAAGCAGGTACCCAGCAGTACGCGGGTACTGTAGATGCAGCTGGATGAAAGCAAACACACTTACGCCGCTCCGCATGTCTACTTGCATGTTTTTCAGTCGCTAAAAAGTGTCTTAAGCAGTACTCCAAGCTGAAAACTATCGTAAAGACCTCTTGTGGTACTGCGTTCAAGTGCCTAGAATACAGGCGCTGCTTGTGCACCTGGCCGTGAAAGTTTTTTCAAAAAATCCTTCGTGAGAACGGCTTTACAACCGGGTTCCCCATACAATTGCCCACCGGGTATTCAAACAACCAGCAGAAAAGTTATTTACTCATTTATATGCCATACATCGGGTGGCCCTTATTTCCTACACTATTTTCCCCGATTTCGGCTGCGATCGATAAATCGTGCGATTTATTGCGGGCTTAGAGCAATACATTGGAGATTCATTCAATTCTCTATCCAACGATGCCAAAACAAATTCTGTGGCTCGAATGGTTCTTGAGAAACTTCGAAAAAAGCAGCGTCATGTTCAAGTGGATTTTGCAACTCAAAAAAAAACCGCGCAAATCTGAAACTTCTTGAATTCAAGCATTTTTGAGAAAACTGTCAACAATTCCCCATCCATGGTTCACTTTCTAAAAAGGCCATTTATTTCTGCGTAGAATGATGTACTAATGAGCGTTCTTGCTCATTTTGCCTCCGAGAAATGAGCAAAAACGGGACGGAAAACATGAAATTTTGGCCTAATCTGGCACCTAACTGTCTGATATTCACATTTCGCTTTCTGTGTCAAAACTACTCGAATTTCCTCACTCACGCTGTTACGACTGAATCGACTTTTCAATCCTCTATCCAACGATGCCAAAACGAATTCTGTGACTCTAATGGTTCTTGAGAAACTTCGGAAAAACCAGCGTCATGTTCAAGTGGATTTTGCAACTCAAAAAAAACCGCGCAAATCTAAAACTTCTTGAATTCAAGCATTTTTTGAGAAAACTGCAATATTTCCTTATCCAATGGTTCACTTTCTAAAAAGGCCATTTAGTTCTCTTTGGAATGATGTAAAAACGAGCGTTCTTGCTTATTTTGCTTCCGAGAAACATGAAATTTTGCAATAGTCTTACGCCACCCTTGCACAAAACGACGATAATTTTTCAGAAGAAGACTGTATTTTTTCTACATAACCTCCCCCCCCCTGAATTTAAAGCTGGATCCGCCCCTGCTCCAACCTCCAATATGTAATGGGTAAAAGCAAATAGAAACGTTGGTTTTCGGTGTCCATCCAGTTGGCTTATCAAGATTGATTATTTACGATCTGGACTATGTAATTTGAATTATTACCTAATTTTAAATTAATTTTTGGCAGTTGCCCGAAAAAATTACATGCTTCACACGCGAATCTTTGCGACATGGGGCCGCTTCACTCGAACCGGCTGCCAACAGTTTAATTGCATTTTTGTTTGTCGGCTGCGAGGAGAAAAAATGTTCAGTTTTATAGGCAGCAACAAGTCAGGGCTACTCAAACCGCTCAAAATATATGTGAAAAACATCGGGCTCTAGAAGTGTATGGACTTTTATGCAGGGTGAAATTGCCAACTTGGAAAAGCGCGGTATTGGAGGCGAATATGGCCATCTAGATTACCCGACTTGGATCCTTGTGACTTCTATTTATGGCCACTTGAAGCGAGTTGTTTATGTCGTGGACATGAGCGATCGCTATCGGCTATTGCTGAGGATTCAACTCACATTAGAATTAATTAATTTTTGTTGCCAATTATTCGGGTTTCAAGGGAAACGAGTTCATTTGGAACGAATTTACTGGTTTTTCTAACAAAGGAAGAATGTGCCTTAATTGGGCAGGCGACTTGCACACTGGGATTTTGACAAAATCGAATCTGCTGTTCGTGTTTGCTAAAAGAAGACTGAAGACATCAGCTGAGGCGCTGAATTTGGGCCCGGTATGTTGATTCTGCAGCAAGTATCGCAGACAGTATAAATGAATGATCAACGAGTGTCCGAAAATAAATATTCATAATCATATGCGGGGATCGGTTGTTTTCAAGGAAAGTGCCACCGGGAGAGCCGTTTCAGATAAATTTCATTGTTTTATTGCCACCAAAGACAATAAAGCGATGTTAATATTCGTGTTCGGGTCCAAATTATTAATGTATTCTCCGCTTAGATTTGTTAGCATTCAGCCTCATTTACTAACAGCTTTTCGAACGGTGCCAGCCGCCGTTGCGGGCACTCAAAACGCTCTTTTTCGAAAATAAATCTGTAACTTGTAAATCGTCAAAACTCAACTCTTTTTCTGTGTAAATACCGGAAAAACCTGCTTATCTTGTACTTGTGTATCGCAAGCCTGCCTAGTCGGTGTGTGTGCTGTGGTTTTACCGATTAAGCAGACGATGTTTACATGATATTAACCCATCGGAAATCTGGTATTTCCGTTCCAAAGTTGCAAAAATTGAGTTTTCATGCAGCGGAAAACCAAACGCAATACGGAACTCAATCGGTATGTTGAGCGGTTACTTTCGGTATTCAAATGAATCGAACTATGACACTTGATTAAGCATTGTTTCATTCAAAGCCCATGAATTACAAGTACCGGCTTTGAGTCACGACATTTTTTTTCCTCTAAACAACCGTCGGTGTTTACCTTTGACGTTTTTTCCACGCCGACTTGTTTTTCTTCTGGTCATTTGTTCGTAATACTTTAACATGTATCGCAGTGGCTACAGTAATCAATTAAATGTTAAAAGTTGAAGAACATACAGGGTGTGAAAAACAAATGAGTGTCGTCTTCATGTGTCGAGTTTGGGTTCGAAATCGGCAAAGCGTCCACTCGCAAGACTCAACTCGCCTAAGTGCTGGCAGAGAAGCTGCACGAAGCGGAATTTTCAGTTTCAATTGGCAATGTTTGTTGTATTTTGATGAATTTTCGTAAAAACAGAAGTTAATTTACGATCGGGCAAATAGATGAAATAGACATGAACATTAGCTGGGGCCGACTGATAAGAGATCCGCTCGGTATCCACGATAATGGCTGTCATCATCTTTATTTTTAACGCGGGACTGTTTGTTTTGGCATCACGGCGTCGACGCCACATGTTTTCAACTTGTAATCAAATGCAACACTTTTCCGAATTAATTCGCCCACAAACCGGACATTTAAATCGTCTCAACGGGTCGTTGAGGGCGCAAACACGATGTCTTCGGCGCCACGCAAATCCCGTTATCCAATACCTCTTTCTTCGGATTTCACGATTTGCATGATTCACACATCCACTACCAGATGACAACGAAAAATGTGAAGAAAATGTGCCGGAAAGAGCGCGATCGATATGGATCGCGACTCGTTGGACGAAGATGGTGCAAGTGGAGGATCAGGTGGTTCGTAACAGGGTCATCGGAAAGGCTGAACCGAAGGAAGAAAGAGGTGTGCTGGGCAGCCTTAAAGGTCATTGTCTCGTGCTTGTCTTTTCTCTTCGGCAACTGACGAGTTAAGATCTTTGGAATTTGATATTGTCAATGTTTTTCGTCACCAAACTGTGTTTCTTCAATGCGGTTGTTCACAAGTCCTGAAGAAATCGGATTTTCAGATCAACCCAGACCCAAAATCGGCTACTTGCTTGTTCTAATTATCTGGCTAAAGCGTAAAATAACCAATAAAGTTACCTACTAATCTGAACTCACCAAAAGAGATAGACTTTCGAGGCCATTCATTGAAACTAATGGGTTTTTAGGCCGTCGTTCGGTAGAATTTCTTCTTGACGTTTCGCAAGCACGAGTGGCTTGCATCTTCAGAAGTGGTTTGCT